GATTTTTTATATTTTTATCACTGAAAAAAGTAACAAAGCTACCGTATAAATAATGCTCACTGCTCATCTTTAAAATGATATTAAATATTGTTTTCAACGAAAATGTGTCCAACTACCGTTAGCATCTCTCAAAGGGTATTCAATATTGCTGATATAGCGGTTCTTGTAAGATAAGGTCGAGAAGCATATTTTCTAGTTCATGCATATGGACACTTAATTTTTCGATGAAGAGAGAAACCGATGAGAAATAATGGTTATATCTTATTCTTATCACCTGGTTTTGATAACGAGTGTGGTAAATAACTGTCTATTTTCGAAGTCACTAAATTTAGATTGTTAATCATATGACGGAACAGACAATTAATGCATTATTGATGTTTTCAAGGAAATATTTATATCTATGAAGTGTTATAATTTGTCAATTTAAAGTTGCATGTCGTATATTATAACAATGGCTGTAACAAAATGTTCGTTCAACACATTTAATTTCCCCAGGCCAGTTTTGTAAAACAAAAATAACTGATGGAAATATTTTATGCAATGATTGTTAACTGGTATTTTTTACAAACTGCTTACGTTATTGTATATATGTCGATTAAGATGTTTGATACTGATATTCATAGCAGACACTTTAGAGGTCAATTGTGCCTCAGATATGCTATCTTTTTTTTATCTCACAAACTTTTAATTTTGGTATCTTATTACAGTTTCCAAAGCATTACTCATTGACCATATAGATGAACTAATAGTTATTTCTGTTGTTATGTTGGCAATTACTTTAATTATTATAGAAATAAGTATTTTGAATGGAAGTCAAAATACTTCTTTGTTTACATTTTGCTACTTTTTGATACACACAAGTTCAAAGCTACTTTCTTCAATTGTTAAATATCTTACATGCTCTAAATCCATTATTAAACATTTTAAATCTATTTTTGACGTATTTAAAGAAAGGAAAAATACGGACGTCTGAGACATAATGTACATCTTAAAGTATAAGCAGTATTTAGTTATGTATTCTGATCATATATTTGTTTTTATACTTTAAATGCTTACCAATTTTATAGTATTGTATAGAGATAAGCTTAAAATGCATTAAAATATGCAGTGAATCTGATACTTAGAAATTAATGTTGAAATTTTACATAATACTGTATAAAGTATTGTCTAATACTCCAAATAAAGTTCACATATTTTAAATCTATACAATAATATTGTAAGGTTTGTTACTAAAAATATGAGATGATCTCCCATTTACTATCCTACTCAATCGTCCTTTATTTATTATTCTCATCTTAAAATTTAAGCAAAGAAACCTTGAAACCAAAAGTAAAGCAATAAACCATGACTTTGAAATAGAAACAAAAAATCTAACATGCGTTTAACGTACTGTACGATTTTAATGATGTAGAATAATGGTTCTATTTCTGGGTAATTGGTGTTTATTTTCAACTTTCATTCATTTAATTTTTTTTGCATTGCTCAAAGCTGTTCTTAATACTGAGATAAGTATTTTTAAGGACTTACAATGCTGTGAAATTGAAATAGATAAAAACAAAACATCACTCAAAAATGTACCATATACTCGATAATTTTGGACAATATCCATGTGCTTCTTGTCTAAAACTTATTGCCAATTAACTCTTCATCAAATCACTGGTGGAAAGAACTTCTATAATTGGCATCTTAATGAAATCAGTTCAAGTATGAAAAGCAATTTTGCACTGCACTGTTTGATCTTTTATATTTTGATGGTCATATTTATGTGAATCCTCTTATGAAAATTAAAAGATTACATAGAATAGAGCATGTGGTATTTGTTTTAGATTTTTTTAAAATTTTATATTAACGTAAGTAAAATATAGTATCACAATGATTTGTTTTATATAAAGCAATAAGAGTTGAAAAAGGAAGCACAAAAAGGAGTTTTGATATGTCAAAGTGAATGACAGTTTAGTATCACAAACATATCAAGATCGAATGGAACCGTCGACATAGTTTACGACAATGATCGATATCAAAATCAGACTACATACGATTCTGATTTTCCTAATTCTATCTTTGAGGCAAATCATTATTAGTTTCTGTTCTTTTTATCAGGTTAAGGTTTAGGCTACTGCTACTGTCATAGGGCCAAGTCAATATCCATATTTATACAATGGTACAAGGTTTCGTACCTTACGTTTGAGTGGTCAAAGTTGTAATGTGGCATTGCCATTCATCTTCGCCTCGAGAAAACAAATCCAATTTATGATAAGATATTTTAATTCAAACCATACAATTTCGAAATCATAATGGACATATTTAAATGGAAGTTCATTTTTATGTAAAAGAAATAAGCTGATCAATTAATTATTTGCATATATTTCAAGCAATAATTATGTTTATGATGTTTTGTTTCTGTATCTCTATTAAAATATCCTTGCTTCAAATAAACGATAAATTCCAAGGGTCTGCTTGTTCATATGTCTAATTGATTTCATTTCTGTAAGTTAAGTATGTTTAATGTTTAATTAATTTTTGGTTGCCTAGAAGGCCCTCGGTGTTGTGTTTTAGAGTGAAATACGCAATTTATTCATTGATATTTTTTTCTGAGACACTTTTCATTTCACAAATTGCTTCAAGATTATACACTGTCAATTTTATTACTAGATTTTGATAAAATATATCTTTGCTATGTATCTAGTTACTACTCGATTCGTTTCCCAGTTCCTGATATATCATTAATCGAACGCACCTCTGTACGTGACAGCATGATAAAAATCTGTTCACGAACAAAACAACTACATTCAGTATGGCTTCGTTATCATTGACCTTTCATGATGAACAGAAAAAAGATAGTATGATAAACTGTGTTTCTCTATTGCATAAGATAAACTTTTGTACGAAATAGTCAAAGACTTTTCTGTTTCACGCGAGAAGCAAGTTCACATGCGTTGATATTGTGAGCAACAGTATATGAGTATGATTTTCAATTGGTATTTATAATTCATCCACATTTATTATGGTATTATTGAATGAAAATACAATGATAATCGTATTTGAAATATTTTGAGCAAAGGAAAGGATAAACGCTTGCATTTTCAATTTTTCTTTAGATATACTCGTGATGTCAAAGATACATATACATACATTATAGCATACAAATAATACATTTTTGCGATTGAAAATCAAGACAGATGAAAGAACCTCTCAAATGTTGTAGCCGTCACACTATCTATTCATTTTTCATTTAGGCCAGTAAGTGAAAAGATTATTTTTATTCAAAATGACGTGATGTGACCACTAACTATATTGTGTTCTTCTTGATAAAACACGGACAGATTCAACAATGGTATAAAATAAAAATATAGATTTTAGATGAGCGACATCAAAACACGGTATCTTGGCAATGAAACAGGCGGAAGTGATTTTTTATACTTCCGGTTACATCGCAACAGAGATCTTATCTATTTTAAACGCAGTGACCTTTTTCCCTTCTCATTTTTATTTATGTAACTGGACTGACAACGTCAACATTGAACAGTTACCATTTTCAGTCCGACAAAAATCGATGCATTAAAGGCAAGTCGACACGAACTAAAACTAGAATCATTTCATATAATTTGCTGCTTCTATTGTTTCAAAATTTTCTGAAATGGCCTAGACCGTGAAACTCAGATTTTAGGGACACATAAACTAAGTCTTATCAGACCATCTCCAGACAATTTTATTAGTAAATTTAGTATTTTTCTCTGAGGTCAAAAATTCCTTTTCTTTACTCTCTTGTATGATTTGCTATTATGATTGTAATTTATGCGTGCAAACTGATCACTCGTTCCATACGCACAACAAATACTGAAATATAGCCTTCGGTAATTCTTACATGGGCCTTTGAGCCCATATGGTTAAGATTGCCGTATTTATACCATTTGCATCTAACGGCAATTGTTTAGAATTTTGGAGCTATGTCACAAAGCTAATCAGTTGGCTAAGATGTCCCCGCTCGCGAATTAAAAATTGCACGAAGGGTCCGTGTATTAAAAATTTCCAAGAGTTTTAACATACAAACAACAAAAACAAAAAAAATACAAAAAACGTTCCTTTTAATACATAAAACCTTAGAAACAAACATGCAAAGCTTGTATTTATCACAACCCAAAAAAGAAACAACGCTTTGGTTCTCATTAAAGGTCACTCTGATTATTTTTTTCATTTTTAGGACAAAGAAAAATTCGTGTCCATTGACTCATCCAAAAGTTGTTTGCGTAATAGATATATAAAGAACGTAACAGCATAGTTGGAATACAAATACGTAGGAATATCACCACTGTAGGCCTGTAACATTTAAATGTTAAATTGTATATTGATATATATTACAACGCAATAGAAAGATGTGTTTACTAACATTGCGCGGAAATGCAATTTCCATGACGTAATTCTTGTTTATTGACCGTCACAACTGGCTTTGTATGTCGTGAAAGTATTGATTTGTATGTCATGCATAAATCTTAAAATGATTTTTTAGTTTGTTGTTTTGACCACTGCTTTGCCTATATAATAAGTGTAATGGTGATCTTCATTGCCCTATCTGTTTAATGGGGCTGAGAAAGGGAAGGGTGGGGTGATATGAACCATGTTTGAATTGCAAATTTAGAATATCTAGTTTTTGCAGTGACATCATGTAAAGAAATAAATTATGTTCAAAAAGATATTCAAATAAGATGAATTCCACTGTCTTTTTTTTGCTCGCTTGTGTTTTGTTGAAAATTATGTTTAATTAATTTTTTACATGTATTTAATTAATTTATTATATTTTTACATATATTAGATTAATTTTATCAAAGTTTTACATGTATATTATTGATTCTAGTACTTTAAAACGTATTTTAGTTGGTTTTAATATTTTTACGACATATGTTTTTTAATTGTGTCTAAAACTTTTTCCCTTTATTTAGTTGATTTTAATACTATTACTTTTCTATTAATGGGGAAAGAGAAAATATAAACACCACTGGTATTTTCTATTGTTTATTTTCAATAATTGTTGAAGACTGAGGACCCGATCTGGTTTCAAAATATAAGAAAAATACAACAGCTTACATGTAAAAATACAAGGGTTTAAATACGTAATTTTAAAGGTAAATACTACGAATGTATTAAATATATTCAAATCATTGACAATAAAACATTGCTTAAAATCTTTGGTTTAGTTTTTTTTATTTCAATTGTTCTAAATATAACGATAAATAATGGTGGAATGATTCACTGAATTAAATAAAATGTATAAAAAAGCAGGTCAGTCTCCATTACTCACTTTGTTTCCATAACAATGTCTTTTTCTTTTTTTGACTGATTGTATATATAATAGTTTTACATTTTTTAACATCTAATAAGCAAGTCATCGTTATGAACCCATGACCCAGAGCTTGCCTTTAAGTAAAATATTGAAGTGACAAAAATGTTTGTGGTGTTATCTCTCTATCTTTGTGTCCTGAAATAAAAAAAACATACAAGCTTGATTGTTTTAACATCTTCAAATAGAGTAAGTTTAAAACAAAAACAAAATATGCTCTTTCTTATGATGTAAAATGTTCTGACAGAATTCGTTTTGAACTATGATATAGATCTGTGACCTGTGAAAAAAAGGAGAAAAGCGCTAAGATGTTTTTGATTTTTTAAGTCCTTTTTCAATTCTAACAATTGTCTCAGCATAAGGAACTTGATTTATATGATCAAATTTAATATCGATTTAAGCATAAAGTATCATAAAAGCTAAAGAAGTTGAAATGATCCGTAAGATAGATCGTCATTCGAAACCGACTCAAAAGTAAATGGAATATATGAAAAAAAAATACACTTTTTTTTATATCGTTTAAATATCAAACATGTAAAATAAGCAAATCTATCATTTTTGATATTATAACTTATAATCTAATGTAATAGTTATGGTATAAATTACCATCTACTGTAACCTGTGACGCTTCATATCGCGACCAAGCCATCTCAAAAATAAATAATCATCGAACCTGAAAAAAAAGAAGATTACTATTTCTTTATCTTTTATCACATGCCAAAATTGCCTTCCGTTAAGAGAGATTGATATGCTTGGTTAGCTGGTATAAGACTGAGACAAACTGACGTAAGGTTTAGTCATCTGTTGCTATGTTGAATTATTTACATTTAGTTAGGTTATGTCAGAATTATGTTCTATTCCATAATATGTAATGTTCATTCAAGATGATATCCTGTTGAGTCAAGATTGCATCATTTTGAGTAAAAAAAGGACATGAAGAGGGTCCTTCAATTTCGCCAATCTGAAATAAGCTGGATGAAATTGACATATTTTATAGAATTGGAGCATTGTTAGTTAAATGACATTTCCGCTAGTCTAAATGGCGTTATGTTGAGTAAAATTGGAACTGTGTAAAGCAAACGTATCATAATTGCTTGGTGAGTTAATATGTTAAAGTTTGTGGTTTTAAAGGCATTAGGTTTGGTCAAGGTGAGTACAAGAGTGAGTGAAATTGGCATTATGAAGAGTTAAAATGACATAATGTTTGTTCAATCAAGTTTTATTTTTACATTTTGTCCACTTTCCGTAACTAGTATGTAAAGAAAATTTGGTATTACGTTTGGAACAATTTGATACTATGTTTGAACAAATAAACAATTTGATTCAACCAATTTGCTTTCTTACCCAGCAGAATGCTTATTTGAGTCAACCTAACACCAAAAAGACCAGAACTTTATCTAACTTAACCTATAGAGCCGATTACCATAGTTACCATGCTACACCCTCTGACGTCACATATAGCTATACATTATAGAGATATAGTGAAGTATAACAAAACAAATGCCAAATACTATTGCGTAAACATACTATTCTGTCAGTATTGAGAGACAAAAATGGTGTCACTAAGACCTCTTGCAATTTAATCAAATTGCAAAAAAGAAATTTCCATATGAATTTCTTTTAACTTTACAATAATCATAGATTTGAAAGAAATATATCATGACTTAGTCAGTCAATTTTACATCCGATATAATAATCTCCTGCTTTTGTTGTTGTTATATGTCGGTTATTTCGTTTTTACCATAAATAACAATTTTTTAATTTTTTTTATCGAAATTAGATTCTGTGTTTAAGATATAATACACATGTGAGAACACGCAAAGTAATTAATAAATGGATAAATGATATAAATAATAAATGAATATGTATACATACGTGAAACCATCAATTCCTGATGATCGTTTTTTTACACTGGCCGGAAAACTGTCATACGCCCAAGGGTCAAGTAGATTCGTGCATTCTGGAGGGCAAGGGTGTCCGCTGAAAATGACATGATATAAAAACAATAAGTACTGACAAAATGATTGAACATATGCATCATTCTTAATTTTCTACAATTCTTCAATCTGAAATCTCATTCGATGGATATTTATTGCATTTCTATCGAAATTAGATACATACAGACGTGTGTTTCGTAAGTCTGGTTAAAGGGTTTTGTTACGATATGTTTGGAAATTATGTGTACCAAATAAATTGGATAGCATATCCTTATTGGTGATGACCTACGCTATAAGATGTTTCTAAGTGCTAAGAAATTAATACTGAAACCAACTTTAATGGATATGAGAACTTTTCTCTTTAAAACATTTTTTCTCATTTACATATCAAACATAAATCATTTCTACTAGCTTTACTTCAGTTAAAGAACATAAGCATCATTTTTATAATAAATAAAGTTATATTTACATAGGATAAAGGTTAACCTGATTTAAATATAATGTAAATAAAAAATCCTTGACATGTGAAAAAAAATTTTAATAAAAGGGAAAATTTTTCTTTCCACACATAATTTGAAAATTTCATATTCATAAAATACGCTGAACATATCCTTTGGGGCAAATTTTTTATAAAATTGGGATCAAATTTCTAGAATCTGTTTTTTGATCTTTCCCCTTTTAAACTGGTTTTACAGCTTGGTCCCAAAGGGGCCCGCTTTCAA